GGAACAAATCATTGCACTATGGCACAATGAAAGGTTATACTGACGCTAGGGGTAATTCAGTCAAGCGTACGCAGATCGAACCAACGAAATGGGTTCGGCTACCTCCAAATCTGCGAATAGCGTCATTCGTCACACAACTACCTAGAAGAAGCAACCATCAATGCATGCATCTTTACTACCAAGCCTCAAAGGTCAACTTCTGATCTTGCGGCATCACTGGGCACCTGAACATGAAGGAACGTATCGCGAAGAGCTAAATAGAATTTGCTAGGTTCTCAAGTGCTTTGTGTATCACCTCCATTCATTCCAATAGGCTCATGTTCTCGTCAGTGTACTCTGATTCGCGAAACTGTCCATTCATAACCGGCATCACAGTAAAAATCGTTGTTTGTGCGGTTTGGTTGTGAATGAAGTATTCATTATGATGAAAAATTTAAACCATGATGCACCAACACAGTGTTGCTTGAGTAAGGTTAGGCAGACTATTGAAAACATAATATAACGGCTGATAGCGCGAACTAGTAGGAGTTGACTGTGAGCGTTTACATTTTGGTGCATTTTGTTTCGTTTAACTTGCAGGTCTGTTGTACCCATCCCCCATTCACCCACACATATACTATCTGCCAGAGATTATTTGTTATTGTTATTGTAATAATTTCTGCAGGCACAAGATCTACAATGCAATTCAAAATATACAAGTTGAAGAGAGGGAGAAAATAATAACAAAATTAAATTTTTAAAAATTATATCTGAAAACTGTTTTAAGAAAAGTCTGTGAAAACTGGTTCTCTGTTAGCTAAAATACGTGCTCGAGAGCCTCGTGTGGTCCTCCATTGCTGAAGACACAAATCAGGGAACATGCTGTCACGCGTTGTTGTCGACTGCGATGTGCTGTCTGATCTCGGAGTACGTTCGCACTACAAGGGTGGATTCACAATAAGGGTATTGAAACCAATATGACATCAAAGAGGTTAGAATACTAGGACAGTTTAATTGCTCTGTGTAGATAGCATGCACGCAGCCACACACTAGTTTACCTTGAATGCTGAGGCAGTTCGTTCAATGCTAGCTTCAACATCCTCAGATAAATGGATTTGTGGAGTTAGAGTAGAGGATTGTTTTGCCTCGGCCGAACTTGTCAATGCGATCTTGGATTGATTTGCTTCCAGTACCAAACGATCCATATCGTGTCCACACGTGACCACAGCCTCCGAGATCAGTTCGGATAAGCGTTGATTTGTTTCATTCAACTTGGTGAGCTCACCACTGTCCGTCTGAATCAACGCGCGCATCAGAGAAAGAGATGAAAATGGGTATTTCTTGTTAATCGAAATTCAGTTCAAACGGGAGTAGCTGATTCTACTAGTGGGGTGAATAGCTTGTTCCCCTTTGGTAATAACAACCTCAGAAAAAAGAACGAGGAAACTGGATTATTTGAAACAATCGTATTCCTTGGCTCCGATCCGTAGAACTACGGCCATAAGGCCCGAAGAATGAGAACCAGAGGAAACAACTTAAACGAACATATGAACTTACTATGGTATTTGCCATGGAACCATTTTGTTCGGCAGCTGTCTCCTCTGGTTCCGTATCCGTTCGCTTCGAATTAGCTGCTGCTGCAGCCGCGGCAGCAGCTGCGGCTGGTGTGGCCCATTCATCCATGATTTCCAATTCTGTCAGATCAATGTCACTCACCGGAGTGGCATCGCGAAATTGATTATGCACTAACTGGATAATTTCAGCTGCTCGTTCTTCGTCTTGGCCTTCTACGTTGGTCTTCTCACCGAGCAGTTCCGGCACAACCTCGTTTGCTTCTCCCACAGAAGATGCACCATCACGATCTTCGTCGGAATCCGATAGCACTTCACCCTCCGAATAGCTTACTTCCGAAGGAGTGCGACTATGACGTGTGCGCAATGACCGATTTGATCGACGGGGTTTATTTGTGTGCACCACAAGTTCCACCACCTCGTCAGAATCCCGGTTCAGTTTCGTTGAGGTTGGATCTAAAATGTGGGAGTCATTGGTGTTTGGCATCGGTACACTTTCCTCCGATGTTATGGATGTGTTAAGAGGACCGCTTGCAGAGCGAGGTTTGGAACCGAGTGAATCAGTGGAACTGTAGAATTTTAAAAGAAAATGTAACAGGCACGAGGACATCAGCATCATCGTCGCCCTTTATTAACATACATCTAATTGAGGAAAAATAGAGCAGCAGTAGTTGAACGATACATCATCATCATCACCGTACAGCGAAATACAGTGAAGCGAACTTCACTGACCGCTGCCAAACTCACAATGCATACAAGGTTAGTGGTAAAACTTAAG